AGGCTCGCAGAAGGTCGGCGGTCGAGGCGGAGGGATCCACTGCCCAGGAGGAATTTTGACAGTACAGTGGAGACCCATGCCCAGAAACGCCCTGCTTGCCTTCAGGGCGCCCTGGGTTTCTTTGGTGTCGATGATTTTTGCGATGGGAAGCGTGCTGTTCGCGCGCCAGAATCCACTGAACGTCCTGGAGTCTCAGGGTCGGGTTTCTTGTGGAAGGCTTCTGGTGGACTGGTCTCCACTGTACGACGCCCTTGCAGCAGACGAGCTTGAGCAGTGCGCGCAGTTCACGATGGGTGGCCGCGAGGCGAGGCTGCGAGGTCGGGGACCGCGGTGGGCCACCGATTCTGGGGGCCCCAGGCTCCCCAACAGGGCGCCAGAGGCATGATCTGCGGCTTCTGCACACGAGCTGTTTGGGGAATCGGTGACACGCGCGTCGTGTTTCTCATATTGCGCGTGTTGCGCGGCTGCTTGTTGTACGACAGATCTTGTAGCCCCCCAGCGGTAACGTCACACGCCCATAGGATTAATGCGATTTGCGACGAAAAATAAAAAATACACCAACAATAGTCAAAACGTAATCCAAAAATAGTATGGGGACCATTTTTGAACATTTTCTGTCCTTCTTGGGCTATGTTTTGGGTATTTTTTGTTTTTCGTCGAAAATCCCCCTGTAGGGGGACACGCCCGACATAACCATAAGACCGTCCGAACGGGGTGGCATGTGTTCTGTCTTGGCTCTCCGGACCGGCGAGTGTCGAGGGTCGAGGAGGGGTGGTATACATCACCGAGCTGCTTCGGTGCTCGGGCGCTCTTGTTCTGGGCCGACCCCCCCTCTTCCTCCTCCTCAGGGGGCCACACGCGAACCCTACCCCTACCCCCCACGATTTCTGAGGGGGAGGGTGGGGTTCACTTCGCTCGGGAGCTCGCGAACGAAGTGAACCCCGTCCTCCCCTCAGAAATCGCGGGGGTAGGGGTAGGGTTCACGTGTGGTCCTCTACTCCTTCCTCCCAGATCTCCAGCAGTGTGATTTTTGTTCCAGTCCAGGTTGAACAATTTGCCCCAGGGGAGGTCTCGAGACCTCCTTGGGGATGCCACGCAGCGAGGGAGATTTTGTCGGGCGTCTGGACTCGAGGAGTCTGTTTCGACGTGGTTCGCCTTCTTCTCCCTTCTCGGAGGGCCCCTCGTTGTAACGGGTGGATTCATGCCGAGATGCCTGTTGGATCGCCTTCCAGAAGAGGCCTGGGACTCCGCGGCAGCCAGCGTCGCCGTCGCCGCCGCCGTCAGGGTCGTCGTCGTCGTCGTCGCTGTCGCTGTCGGTGTTCGATAGTTTTCGGCGGTTCCGGAGGCGACGACGTTTTCGCAGGCGAAGGCGTCCGAGATAGCGTGAGGACTGGGGGCGTGTGGATTCCATGGCCGGGGCCGTGAGGGTCTCCCCCAGATGACATGGACCCCTCCTCCCTTAAGCTTGGCATCGCTCGGACGTGTGCATTTTTCCTTCGGCGAGGACCATCGAGGAGCATCCTTGATCATTTGACGAAAAAGAAAAAGCCACGCACGAAACCAAAGCGATGGCCAGCAAGACGTTTCGTTGCCCTCGCTCGTCCGCGCACAGGCCTCGGCCCATCATCATCATCATCATCATCATCATCATCATCATCATCATCATCATCATCATCATCATCAACATCATCATCGTTATTATCATCATCGTCATCATCATCATCGTCATCGTCATCGTCGTCATCGTCATCGTCGTCATCGTCATCGTCATCGTCATCAACATCAACATCAGCATCATCATCAGCATCATCCTCATCATCATCATCATCAAACATTATCATCACCATCATCATCGTCATCATCACCATCATCATCATCATCACCATCATCATCATCACCATCATCATCATCATCCGTCTTCTGAGCGCCCCATGTTCGGCGCACGCACGCGACACAGGTTTCTCGAGGGTTCGGGACGTTCTGAGCAGCTTCTGCATGCTTCTGCGCGTCCTCCGATGTTTAGGGAGGCGACTGAGGAGACGTCGTCCTCGACGTCGCCGTCGTCGTCGATCTTCACTGTCGATCGTCGTCGTTGGTGGGTGTCGCCGTGATCCATCGCCGTCACCGATCTTCGTCGTCGTGCACTTCGATCGTCGTCGCCGTTGACCGCCGTCGTCTTCGCGTGGCGCTCGTCGACGCAGCGCCTTCGTCGCTGCGTTTCGGCGTTTCTCGCGGCTTGGCATCGCTCGGTCGTGTTTTTTGTTTTCGGCGAGGACCATCGAGGAGCATCTTGGATCCTCTCAAACGCACGAAACCGAGAGATACATTGGGCCAGGGCTGGACCTAAAATCTGTTTTGCTGGACTTCGGCTTTGTTTTGTTTTCCGTTTTGGCAGGGAGGTGCATGACAGCAGGTAGAGCAAAGCGAGAAACATAACGAAAACAAAACGAATAACAACGTTTAGGTCCAGCCCTGCATTGGGCATGGACGTCCGAGCGATGGCAGGTTTGCGCGCCTAGACCTCCAGGTCTCCGCGAGAGCAGAACGCCTCACGGCGGGCGTGCTGCTCGCATCCGCCCTCGTCCTCGCCAGGGCCCGTTCCGATCCGGTCGATCCGATTCGATGCGCTTTGGGCGTTCGGTAAGAATTGTGTCCAGGAACCTTCGGACCCTGCGGGATTCCTGATCCGATGAGATCGGCGTTTACAGTGGGGGCCCATGCCAAGAAACACCCTGCTTGCCTCCAGTGTGCCCTGGGTTTCGTGGGTTTCGATGGTTTTGCCATGGGAAGCGCGGCGTTCCCACACCTAAAATCGAAGAACTTCCTGGGGTCTCTGGGTTGGGTTTCTGGTGGAAGGTTTCTTGTGGACGGGCCTCCACAGTGTATCCATGGTTCAGCCTCAATTGGTGTTCCACCAGCTTTCAGGCCCTGCATTCGTTATCCAATGGTTACGTATCCAGTGCCCTCACCGTTTCGGCTTTGGTCCGATTCGATCCGAGGCCGACTTTCGGGCGACCCGACGCGGCCCGACGTTTGCATGGCACTGTTGCGCACCCTGTCGCAGCAGCCGATCCGCTTCGATTCCGGCTCCGTGCCGATGCGTTCCGATTGGATGCACGTTCAGAGCGCTGTCGTCTCGGGCCGGACGAAAGGGGGGGATTGGGAAAGGGGGGGTTACGAGATTTGCTGCATGCAGCTGGTTTCGGCCCTACCGAGGGGCCCATTCCTCGACACAGGGCCGCCTCCGTCGCCGGGAGGCGCCGGGAAAATCAGCTGCGTGAGCTGAGTCTCAGAACCCCCCCATTGCTATCCCCCCCTTTCGCCCGACCCGATCGTCGCCGCCGTCTCCGTCGCCACAACGACGTCTTCGTCGCCACGACGACCACCTCGAGGCTCACTCTCGGCGCTCGGGCCCCCTCGCGCTCCTCGGCGCGCGCAGAGGCCTGCATATTTCACAGCTGCGCTGCACGCCGGTGCGCACAGAGGGTTAGCTTTAAGTCGGGCCTGTCCTTCTACAGGGAGAATATACACAAGTACTCAAGAAATAGTCTGGGGACTATTTTTTAGTATTTTTTGCCATTTTGGAGTATTTTGTTGACTATATTTTATTTTTCGTCGAAAATCCCCCTGTAAGGGGACACGCACGACTTAAGGTTAGCCGCCAGGAGCCATTTCGATGCTGTCGATTCGAATCGATGAGATTTCGAGGATCTCGATGTCGGTTCGCCTCGACTCCGAATTCCGACTTAGCTGCGGGTTTTTCTGTGTGCACGCCTCGCCGCGGGTCACAGGGCGTCGATTCCGATGCCCTCCGATCTGCCCGCGCCAGTTTCTGCCGATTCGATAGGGCGCTCTTGGGTCATCCTTGGAGCGCCTGCTGCGCGAGGTGACGCCGCTGCCAGGGGCCGGCCGGGCCCCTGACAATGACCCGACTTCTCCGGACGGGCCCTTGGCAGCCCATCCATCGCAGGTTACGTTTCGGAGGTTGATCGACCGCCTACCCTAAGTTTTCGATTAGCGAGTTGGCCGTTTTCGGTTCGCGAGAGGGCGTCGCGGCCGTCACTCTTGCGGGTCCAGGTCCGTCGGTTTCGGTCCCAGGCCGTCTTCACTAGAGGGTGGTTTGTTTCAGGGAAGTTTTTGTCAACCGCCGAACTTTGTGGCCCTCTGAACCAGGGCATTGTACAGTCGGGGCCCTGAAGAAGGAACCCTTTTCGTTGGGGAGGGGCTCCGCGTTCTTTAAGTGTTTCGCAGCTTGCCTCAGATTTTCCTTAGGCTTTCGACACGAAATCGAAGTTTAGCTCATGGAAAATAGGGGCCTCGTTCCTTCTTTAGGGTTCCTCAGGTCAACGCCTCGACTGCAATCAGGGCTTTGCTGAAGCTTCCGCCTGGAGAGCACGGAGACTGGAGAAGGGACTGGCACGGGTGCGAACCCACGGCCGCAGCCGTGCTCGGGCGTGCCAGTGTGTCTTGGTTTAGCGAGGGTCGCCGCGTAGGGGGGGGGGCCCTGCTATACTGGGCCCTGCGGGGTCCCCTCGAATCTAGATTTATGTCGCGCGTGTCCCCCTACAGGGGGATGTTCGACGAAAAACTAAAAATACCCCAACAATAGTCAAAGCATATTCCAAACATAGTCAGGGGACTATGTTTTGAGTATTGTTTGGCCTTTTGGGGGAATTTGGAGGGTATGTTTTATTTTTCGTCGAAAATCCCTCTGTAGGGGGACACGCCCGACATAAATCTAGATCGTCGCTCCTCGAAGCCCGGTCGCTGACCGAGCGGACTGGGTCCGATCGTTGAGGATGCAACTCTTGGGAGCTTCGGTTCAGCATCGGCGCTGGCATTCCCATGCGCGATGCCTGCCCTAGTCCGGCCTGCTCCCGCCGAATTCCGTCGAATCCGGGATCATTCTGGGCTAATCTTCATTCAGTGGCCCACCAATCGATTTTGACAGACCTCTCAGAAGTCGCCTCCTGAGATCGTCGATCGACTGGGACCGAGAGGACGTGGTGGTCAATGAAGACCGCCGTCGCACTGGCCTGCACATCGCCGCGGAGCGCGGGGACGCGAGCATTTGCCAAGGGCTCGGCCGCAGGGCCGTCGTGGGTCGTGTGCGGTCGTTGTCGGTCGTCGTCGTCATTTCTCGGTCGCAGGTGCGGTCGTTGATCGTCATATTCGTTGTCGGGCATATTTCGTTCAGGCCGATCGTCGTCGGTTGTCTTATGTCGTCGTGATCGTCATCATCGATCGTCATCGTCGGCCATCGTCTTTCATCGTCGTCGGTCGTCGTCGTCGATCGTGGTCATCGGTGGCGGGCTCGTCGGCTTCGTCGGTGTCTCCGTCGTCGTCGGCGGCGTCCTCGCAGGAGGAGGGGTGGAGTGCGCAGGATGAGCAGACGGAGGTTCGCATCTGATGTCTTCCCACCCAGAGTGAAGTCGGGCCCGTCCCTCTCCAGGAGGAGTATGCAAGAACAGTCCAGAAATAGTCGGGGGACGATTTTCGGACAATTGTTGCACCTTTGGGGGGTCTGTTTTGAGTATTGTTTCCTTTTCGCCTCAAAAAATCCCCTCTGTAGGTGGACACGCCCGACCCAAGCCCAGAGGGTTGGGGTGATGTCTTGGCATCGCTCGGACGTGTGCATGTTTCCTTCGGCGAGGACCATCGAGGAGCATCCTTGAGCATCTGGCGCAAAAAAACCACGCACGAAACCTAAAAAAACACAGGGAATGGACGTCCGAGCGATGGCCAGATATATTGGCTCTGGGCAAGAGCAGCGCCCGGCCCGCCGTGTGGCCCGCCCTGCAGGCCACGGCGGGCCGGACCCCTGCACGTGCTCCCCCCTGCAGTGCCGTTTTGAATGCATGCTCCGCGTGCGGATCGGGTACTAAAAATTAAAGGGATTCAGGATTGAACACAATGATGAATGGATGCTTTGATTCATTCGTAAGTTCATCATCTATGAAAGATCATATATATATATATATGTTTAAACATCCGATGTACTAAAAATTGCCCTGTAAGCATTCGGAAGTCCCCCGAGCGCGTTCCCCTACTCGCACAGTGCCTACTCGCAAGCGTCCGGAAGGCAGATGTCGGCTTCTATGCAATTGATCGTAATTCCCCCGCGGCGTATCCGCAGTAGTGGAATGCACTCGTCTAGAGGTACCCTGCCTCGCGCCCTCGACGAAGGACGGCGGAGCTGATGCCGCATGCCGCGCCCGCTTGACCCAGTACTTTCCCTTGGCCCTGGTAACGACAGGGCCGTTTTGGTACGGGCTCCGCTGTGCCGTTTTTGCTGCAGGTTCTGACTCGTTTTTTCCCCGCTTCAGGCTCCAGTTGCAATCCCTGCGCCGGTTCTTGCTGTTTCCGGTCGCCTTTTTTTGCCGTTGCCATTTTCAGGAAACGTTTTCGGAAAAAGTGAGAAAAACAGGCCTGTATTTTCCGGGGAGTAGGGACGGCAGAACCGATCCGTTACCCAAACGGACGGTTCAGATTAACCGACCACGGGCGATTATAAAGTGCTTCCCCCCCCCCTTCACCCCCTCTATTTTTTGACCACAGGGATCTATCTGTGGAGAAGGCGCGGAGGCCGAACTTTATAATCCACGGAAAAGTTGCGGGGATCGAAGTTGCTATCAGATCATGTTGATTAGCAACAGCATCACAAACGCTGAGCATGGCCATGGTGGTCTCACCACACCAGCAGCTTCCGCAATCACGAGCGTGTGGCAGGGCTGTGTGTCGTGCGCCTGGTTAAACCTCCTCCTCCTCCATCATCGCCGTCATCACCATCATACTTGACTTACCTTCCCCGGGAAAATCCTTTAGTATCCCCGCGGGAACCGCGAACTTTATCATCCCAGGGGGGTCATTATCGCCCGCGGTCGCTTACGGACATCCACGACTCGTGACACACAGGTGTCACAGAAAAGGACAAAACGGACAGGTTGCAAGCCGTTACGCGCAATAATGATTATTTGTTTGCATGTTGCATTGCTTATCGAAAGCGTGTGCATGTTGCACAGCAGCCACGACATGAGGTTGGATTTCAGTAGCGGGAGCAAGCGATTAACGAAATACCCCCCCAGGCCCTTTGGGGCCTGAAACAAATTCAGTTGGGCAGACTAACAAAGTCCAGCCGTCGGAACTGATGTTTTAATCGTCTGTCCCCCCGGCAATTGTTCTGTCGTTGGTTGCCGTTGTCGTTCTCGTCGTCGTCGGCGTCTTCATCGCTCTCGTCGTTGTCGTCGTCGTCGACTACAGTACTACTGCGGGCCTGCGCAGCACCCCCGCCAAAGGGCACCCGCAGTGCGTCGTCGTCCCTCGTCCTAGTCCTCGTCCTCGTCGTCGTCTCATCCTTGTCGTCATCGTCGTCGACGACTGCGGCGTACGGCGGGCCTGCGCAGCCCCCCCCCATAGGGCATCTGCAGTGCAACGTCGTCGTCGCCGCCGTCGTCGACCGTCATCGTCGTCCTCATCGTCGTCCTCGTCGTCTTCGTCGTCGTTGTCGTCGACTACAGCGGGCCTACGCAGCCCCCCCCCCAGGGCATCCGTAGTGCGTCGTCGTCGTCGTCCGTCGTCGTCGATCTCGTCGTCGTCGTCGCCGCCGTTATCCATCGTCGTCGTCCTCGTCCGCATCCTCATCCTCGTCCTCTTTCTCGTCGCCGTTGTCGTCCGTCATCGTCGTCGTCGTCATCGTCGTCGTCGCCGTCGTCGTCGTCGTCGATTACAGCTGGCCTACGCAGCACCCCCCCATACCCCCATAGGGCATCCGCAGTGCGTCGTCGTCGTCGTCGTCGTCGCCGTCCGTCGTCACCATCGTCTTCATGCTCATCCTCGGCGTCGTGATTGTCGGTGCCGTCTCCGTGGTCGTCCTTCTGGTCGGCACAATCGCCCTCGCGGACAACCGCGGCGAGTGGGGGGGGGAGGAGCAGGAGGAGGGGGAGGAGGAGGAGGAGGAGGAGGAGGAGGAGGAGGAGGAGGTGGAGAAGGAGGAGGAGAAGGAGGAGGAGGAGGAGGAAGAAGAGGAGCAGGAGGAGTAAGAGGACCAGGAGGAGTAGGAGGAGGAGGAGGTGGAGGAGGAGGAGGAGGAAGAGGAGGAAGAGGAGGAAGCGGAGGAGGAGGGAGGAGGAGGAGGAGAAGCGGAGGAGGAGGAAGGAGGAAGGAGGAGGAGGAGGAGGGGAGGAGGAGGAGAGGAGGAGGAGGGGAGGAGGAGGAAGATGTCGAAACATCTTGCCTCGAGGGTATGGCCTGCGAACTACTATATGGGCGGCCTCCCGGCCCCCCCCCTGGCCCCCCGGACAGCCAGGAGTGGCCCGCCCTCCATCGGCTTGCTCCCCCCCCCTCTCCAGACTGGGGGCAGCCAGGCCGGCCAATTTTGTCCATCCCCCCCCCCAGAATTATGATCTCCTCCTTCTCCTCCTCCTCGTCCTCCTCCTCCCCCTCCTCCTCCTCCCTCCTCCTCCTCCTCCTCCTCCTCCTCCTCCTCCCCATCCTGCTCCCCCTCCTCCTCCTTCTCCTCCTCCTCCTCCTCCCTTCTTCCCCCTCGCGCCAGGGAGGGAGGCATTGACTTAAGATGGTCCAGCCTACTTTAGCCCTGATCACCAGGAATAATTTCGAGCGCCCAAAGAAATACCGAACCTCGAGGGTTTTCACGCGTCGGGCCCTGGGAGACACTCGCCCGACACTCTTTCGGCACCCTTTCGACACTCTCTTGACACTTTTCCGGGTGCTCGAAATCATTTCTGGGATGCGGTCCTTCAGTAGGATGGGAACAACATGACCCCAGAATTTGGTTTAATCGCCAGCTCCTATTATAGCCACTGCCTTGCGCAGCCTCGACCCATACATGCATCCATGCTTGACGCACCGCTGGAGAATCCCCGGTTGCAACGCCGGGCCGGCGGCTCAGTTTCGACCGCTCCTGCCCGAATCTCTTGCAGGCCTCGGACCGGAGGAAACGGGGGATTGGGAAGGGGGGGGGACGAAGTTAGCTGCGTGCAGCTGGTCTCGGCCCCACAGAGGGGCCCATTCCTCGATGCAGAGCTGCCTCCGGCGCCGGGAGGCGCCCGGCGAATCAGCTGCGTGAGCTGAGTCTCGAACCCCCCCTTTTTTATCCCCCCCTTTCGCCCGGCCCGAGAACCGCCCAGGCAAACCAAGCTCTCCTTGTCTGGAGTGAGTTGCCCATCTTGTGTGGCGAGGGCAGCGAGCTGGGACGGCTTCGACTCCACCCCACTTGAAGGCGAAGGCGTATTTCCGCCAAGTGCGATTCATAGCATGCACGGCCTTGCCGGCCGCAGCTTTCGGAACCCCGGCCCCGCCAGCATGCATCGTGCAATCATTGTTGCCATGGTTATGGAAAGCAACGTACACCTTGGGCGGTGCTTAAGAAAACTTAAGTTTTCGACCAGAGTCTCGATTATTCTTAATGTTTCAATGTGAATCCTAAGATTTTGATAGAATGTTGGGTTTTCATTCAGATTCTGAGACTATGAATTTCTTAACCCATGATTTGTAAAGCATTTCGCAGGGTGTAGGTGTTCAGGTCACTGCGGAGTCGCGGCGCAGGCGCCGCCCTGACGCCTCGGGCTCGGCAGGAGGCGTCTGAGCGTACTGCCCAGGCTGCCGCGGGCCCCAGGATGATCACCAAATGTCAGGAGGGAAAAAACACACACAGACACAATTAATCGGCGATTCCCAGAAAATATGTGAAAATATGGGAAGTGGGGGGGAAGACAAAAACCCAGAACATATGGAAAAATATGGGGGATGTTTTTATTTGTGTGTATTTATTTGCGTGTCCCAGTTCCCCTTCAAAATGGCCCGGGACTCTTGGCATCGCTCGGACGAGTGCACTTTGCGGGCGAGGCCGGCGCCAGAAAGTCAGGGCCGTCTTGGATCGGGGATCTCCTGACCTGGATCCGTCCAGACCCGGGCCAGCCAGGCCTTGCAGAATTCTGCAAGATCCTGCACCCACACCCGGGTCAATGCGAAGGATCCTGCAGGATCCTCCAGGATCCTGCGCCCAAGCCCGGGTCAATGCGACCCTGTCCCTGCAGGATCCTGCAAGGTCCGGCGTTCTGGCTGACCCCCGCTTGCTGACCCCCGTCTCTTGAGCCCCGATTGGAGCACAGCTCGCAAACAAGCACGCACGAGACCAGACCGTGCACGGGGAATGGACGTCCGAGCGAGGGCGAGGGGATGGGAAGCTGCCCCCCGCGAGAGGGGTCGAGAGCCACCCCCCCCCCGAAGGGGGCCCCCGCGGCGGCAAGAAGCCGTGATGGCGGGCTGCGTCGCCCGTGGACGGCGGGTGCGCTCGGTCCAGCACGCGGTGGCGAAGCGTCCTGGCTCGCCGGTAGCCCTGCCAAGCAACGTTCTGAGCACCTTTGTCGTGTTTTCCACGACGTGTTCTTAGAACACTTCTGGTTGATTAGTGTCTTGCTTTAGCGCGTCGGGTTTATTTACCAGCCTGGAACATATCCCTATCCCTATGCTGGGCATCTCCTCATCACGATGCCAATCTTAGGGATTCCCTCATTTTTCGAGGGCGAATCCCTCAGATTGTCATCGCCTTTTGGCGTGTCAATCTTAAGGAGAGGGATACGTTCGAGGCTGGTCATTTATGTTCTGAGAGCACGGTCTTCGCTCTCGGAACGTTTTGGGGGTTCTGAGAGCAGTTCGTGGTAGGGCTATAGGAATGTCGAGACGGTCGGTCCCTGCTCAAGTCCAGCCCTGCTCGTGTTTTCCACGACGGGTTCTTAGAACACTTGTGGTTGATAATTGTCTTGCTTCAACACGTCGAGCTTTTATGTTCTGAGAACGCTGTTTTTGTTCTCGGAACGTGTTGGGGGTTATGAGAGCATTTCGTGGTAGGGCTCTGGGAATGCCGGGGCGGTCGGCCCCTGCGCAAGGCCAGCACGACTGCGCTCGCGCGGCGGGCGCGGCGGCACACACGTGCTGCGAGGGAGAGCCCGCCGAGGAACACGGCATCCGTGGCAGACGAGGAGGGCGTGGCGGAAGAGGAAGAGGAGGAGGAGGAGGAGGAGGAGGAGGAGGGGCAGGAGGAGGGAGGGAGGAGGGAGGAGGCAGGAGGGAGGAGGGAGGAGGAGGAGGAGGAGGAGGAGGAGGAGGGAGAGGAGGAGGAGGAGGAGGAGGAGGAGGAGGAGGAGGAGGAGGAGGAGGAGGAGAGAGGAGGAGGAGGAGGAGGAGGAGGGGGAGGGGGAGGGGGAGGAGGAGGAGCAGGAGCAGGAGCAGGAGGAGGAGCAGGAGCAGGAGCAGGAGCAGGAGCAGGAGGAGGAGTACCAACCAGAGCTCCCACGATCGCCCCAGCCCCGGACATCCTGCGATGTGCTTGTCTTTGTTCACAGCGCGGCTGCACAGCACTGCCCCAGAGAACCCGACCCCTTCCCCGGGGTCAGTTTGTCGCCCAGGATGCGCTTCTGCTGGCACCTGGGACCGAAATCGGTGCCGGAGGCCTTAATCGAGGACAAACGCCCCGACTGAACAAAGCACATCGCAGGGACCGTCCCGCCGGTGCGCAAGAGTGAGGCCAGCTGCTGCTGAGCTACTCTGCGGACGCGCCCCAGCCCCCGCGCCCCGCGCCGCCTCTCGCGAGCGGGGGGGGAGGGACGACGGGAGGCGGAGGAGGAGGGACGGAGGAAACAGAGGGGGGAGGAGGCTCGGAGGAGGAGGAGGGAAGAGGAGGGAGGAGGAGGGAGGAGGAGGAGGACGAGGCGGAGGAGGAGGAGGAGGAGGAGGGAGGAGGAGGAGGAGGAGGAGGAGGAGGAGGAGGAGGGGGGGGGAGGGGAAGGAGGAGAGAGGAGGACAGAGCAAGGGCAAGGGGAGGGAGGATACCGCGTGGCGCGCGGTTTCACGAGAGGCGTGCTCGAGAGGAGGAGGAGGAGGAGGAGGAGGAGGAGGAGGAGGAGGGAGGAGAGGGAGGGGGAGGGAGGGGAGGGAGGGAGGGAGGGAGGGAGGGAGGGAGGGAGGGAGGGAGGGAGGGAGGGAGGGAGGGAGGGAGGGAGGGAGGGAGGGAGGGGAGGAGGAGGAGGAGGAGGAGGAGGAGGAGGGGGAGGAGGAGCAGGAGGAGGGAGGAGGGAGGAAGAGGAGAGGAGAGGAGGAGGAGGAGGAGGAGGAGGAGGAGGAGGAGGAGGGAGGAGGGGAGGAGGAGGAGGAGGAGGAGGAGGGAGGAGGAGGCAGGAGGAGGAGGCAGGAGGAGGAGGCAGGAGAAGGAGCGAAGCCGTTGGCCCAGACGTTCCCGTGCTCCCTCGGGCCGGGGCGGCCAGGGGGCCCGGTTCTCGGCCCGCGACGAAAAGTTTGCCCCAGGGGGGGTCGACGAAGAGACGAAGTGCACACACACACCTATGATGTTCCAACCTACTTTAGCCTGGATCACCAGAATGAATTTGAGCACCAGGAAGGCACCCCCAAACTCGAGGGTTTTCACGTGCCGGGCCCTGGGAGACACTCTTTCGACACTCTTTTACCGGCCCTTTGCCCCAGTGGAGGTCGAAGAAGAAACGAAGTGCATTTTTTCACCACTCATAAAGGAGCCCGGCGGCAAGAACGGGTGACCACAGAGCGCAGAGAAGCCAGAAGAGGAAGAGGAGGAGGGGAGGAGGAGGATCGAGGAGGCAAGGCAGTGCGCCCCGGCGAGGGCGCGCGGAGCCACTAATGACGACTGATTAGTCTGGCGCGCCCGGGCGCGCCAGCAGGCGCCGCCGCACAGCCGCCCGCCACGCCGCCTCGCGGCCCCCGGCGCGCGGGGCATCCGGGAGCAGCAGGCCGGCCGCCCCCGGAAGTGCACATGTACGCACGTCTTCGGAGGTCGGCGCGGATGCTCTGGGTCTGGGCCGGGGGCCCGAAGACCAAGGGCAGAGAGGGGACGTCCTTCAAGCACCGGCGAAGCGCTCTGGCGTTCTTATAGCTAGGCCTGCCATACGGTGCTCTAGGAGCCTTCTTGGTTTTCCACGACATGTCCTTAGAGCATGTCTGGCTGGGACTGTCTTGTTGTAACACATGAGGCTTGTGCTCTGAGAACATTGTTTCTGTGCCTAGAGAACATGTCTGGGTTCTAAGACAATTTCGTGGTAGGCCTATAGGAATGCCGAGACGGTCGGTCCCTGCTCAAGAGAGGGGGTGTCCCCCGAGACACGCGCGTTCGATGTTCGGATCACGACCACGGCGGACGAAATGAGGGTGGGGAGCCATCCGTGTCCACCGCCCAGGGGGATCGATCTTGAGGGCCTCGGCAGGTGGTGGGCATGGACATCTTCGGGCCTGCCGAGGGCCCCGAAGATGGATACCTCGGGGGGCGGACAGAAACCCTACCCTGACACGTCGATCAGTGAAGTGAGAAGGAGAAGGCCTTCTCAGAAGGCTCCCGCGGCCTTCGGAGAAGTGTTCTGAGCCTTCCCCGAAGACAAACCAGAGACTTCTCAGAAAGCGCGAGTGCTTCTGAGAAGTCCCGCCGCACTCTGAGAAGGCCTTCTTCTTATTTTCAGGCGATCGCAAACATGGATTAAGGGGGCGTGGATTAGCGACGGGTCCCGTTTTCACGAGAAACCGCGGATCTCCCCCGCCGAACGAGGCGGCACCGGCCGCATTTTTGGGGGAGGGCACCTCCCCCGATCCATGGATTTGGCGACCGCTCGCCGAATCCATGGATCGCTAATATATGCTTGCGCGCTCCCGATATTTCTTCCCCTCGCTCGCCTTAAGTCGGGCCTGTCCCTCTACAGGGGGAATATTCCAAAATGGTCACAAAATAGTCTGGGGACTATGTTTGGTGCACGTTTTGACCATCCTGGGGTATTTTGTGTAACTATTCTTTATTTCTCGTCGAAACTCCCCCTGTAGGGTGACAGGCCCGACCTGACGCTTGCCGCCACGTGTTTCCGCGGGGCCGGGCCTGCGCGCGCGCGCGCCGCGGGCGCGCGCGCCGCGCGGAGGACCCGCACCTGCAGGACATCTCGAAGTGGTCCCCGCTGGAGATCGCGCGGGAGTGCGCGCCGCCCGGGATGCCGCGCGCGCGCCGCCGCTCGTCGAGGGGGGAAACACACACAGACACAATTCATCGTCGATCCCGAGGACAATATGGGAAAGTATGGGAAGTGGGGGGGAAGACGAAATCCCAGAAAATATAGAACAATATGGTGGAATCCTGTGTTTTGTGTGTATTTATTTTTGTGTGTGTGTGTTTGCGTGTGTGTGTGTGTGTTTGTTTGTGTGTTTGCGTGTGTGTGTGTGTGTGTGAGTGTGTAAGTGTGTGTGTGTGTGAGTGTGTGTGTGTGTGTGTGTGTGTCCAAGGGCCCCTTCAGCCGCGTCGGAGCAAAGCGGCTCCTGCCCCAGACACGGCGGCGTCGCACAAGACTTCAGGACGGACGGTTTTTCGCCAGATTCGGCCCCTGGGGGGCCCGCGCCTGGCCTCGAGACCTTCGAAACACGACTCGGGATGGAAAGCTGGTCCCAGGGAAAGGGTCTGGACTTCTGGGGACGACGTCCTGAAGAAACCAGGACGTCGCACGTCTGGGGCCTCTGTCTCTCTCTCTCTCTCGTGGTTTCGGTCGGGCGGGCGGTGCAGTGGAGGCCCCTGCCAAGAGACACCCTGCTTGCCTCCAGGGTGTCCTGGGTTCCTTGGGTTTCGATTGTGTTGCCATGGGCAGCGTGACGTCCCCACACCAAGCATCCGTTCCGTGGACGTCCTGGGGTCTCGGGGTTGGGCTTCTTGCGGAGGGCTTCTTCTGGACGGGCCTCCGCTGCAAAGGGAGGGCAATGCACACCGGGGTCCTGCAGCCGGAAGGGGCCCAGGAAGGCCCCGCTTGGGGCGCCTACTGGCCCCCCCCCCCCCTAAAAAAAATGGCCCTGGTTAAAGAGCCCCGCCCCAAAAATGGCCCTGGTTAAAGAGCCCCGCAGTGATGTTCTCCAGGGGCTCCCAGGGCTTCCCAGGAGCTCCCAGGGGCTACCCGGGTGCTCCCATGGGTGCTCCCAGGAGCTCCCAGGTGCCTCCGGGGGGGCTCCCCTGGGAGCTCCCAAGGGCTCCCCGGGGTGTTCCCAGGGCTCGCCCCCCATTGTGGTCACCCCCCACTGCCACCCGCCCGCTGCGGCGGCCTGCGTGACGGGGGTCAGCGCTGACGGGGTCAGCGCGACGGAAGGCAAAAGCAGTCGTGGTTCTGAGAAGGCGCGGGCCTTTGCCTGTAGATGGAAGAGCAGCACCTTCTAAGAAGCAGCCTCTTTCTGAGAAGCCTCCCCCCCACCCCCTTGTGCGCGCCGCCAACGTCCGATCCCGGCGGTCCCTATTTCTCTCCTGGTTTCGGAGGCGTGCGTGATGGTGGTCAGCGTTGACGGGGGTCGGCGAAACCCCTCTTGCTGACCTGGGTTTGGGAGCCGCGTGGGGCCGATTCCCTGGCCTCCGCTGTCGGGACCCCCTCCCGAGGGTACCTTTGCATCCTTCCCTCCTCGGTCCATCCTTGGCCGCTTCCGTTGGCCGCGTCCCGTTCGAAATGGGCGTCCGAGGCCTTTGCGCCCTTATCGTCCATCCTTACTGGACGTGTTGACTGTACTTCGTGGCCTGCCTGGGTTCGCGACGTGACCCTGGCTGACCCAGATTTGCGCTGACCCAGGTGCGCGTTCCATGATTCGCAAAGTGGCCACTCACAAAACGCCAGAAACAGACGTGTCTCCCGCCACTTGGCGTATCGCAATTCCCCCGCGGCGGGCCCAGGCCCCTTGCGAGTAGTTACTCTGCGAGTAGTGGACCGCGCTGGTCAACAGGTTGGTGCGTCCCCGATGGTTCTGCGGCTTCGTTCGGGAGTTGCCCGGTGTCCCCGGCCCAAGGTTTCCCCAGCTGGTCTCTCGAGTCCGTGGCTCCCGGGGCCCTCTGGGCACCGCGAGGGCTGCTCCAGAGGCCCTTGGGGGGCCTCGTCGAGTTTTCTGGGGACGCCCTGGGCCAGGGGCACCGCTGGCCACACCTGGATCGTCGTCTTACCCCTCCTCGTCCTCCGTCTCCTCCCTCGTGCCTCGTCCTCCTGGCTCTCCTCCCTCCCCGTCCGGGTCGGGCATCTCTCAAGTCGGGCCTCTCCCTCTACAGGAGGAAGGTTCCCAAATACAGGAAAATAGTCTAAGGGCGATGCTTTGAGTATTTATTCGCAGTTTTGATTATTTTCTGACTATTTGGAATTTGTCGTAGAAGAACACGGCCGACCTAACACATCTCTTTCCTCGTCGCGTTCCCCCCCCTCGCCTTCCTCCTCGCCCTCCCGCTCCGTTGCTGCCTTGTTCCTGACTGTTCTCGATCCTATTTCCTTCGTGCGTCTCCCAGGCTCTCCCACGCCTCCCCTTCTAAGGTGCGCCTCCTTCCCAGTCATCCCCCATCGAGGATGTCCCATGAGGGCACGAGCAAGCCGCCATTACTCGAGTAGGGGATCGACTACAACATTGATTTACCCCATAATCAGATTTGTCCACCGAGTCTACGGACAAGATGTTGAACGGTCGTGGATGTACGATCATGTCACATCTTTTCCTAGACTCGATTGGTGAATGAATTCTGTAGTCGGTCCCCTACTCGACTCGTCAGGCCCGCCGGGAAGACAGGGCTCCTCAGAGTGTTGCAGGTGTGCACCTTTGCCGCCCCTCTGGGCCCTTCCAGGGCCACAGGACGTTCCAACAACGATTCAGACAAGGGATCCGTTCCCCGCATACTCATGCCCATGTCTGACATGGTGTTTCTTCTGCTCTGCTCTGTGCGCGGGGGAGACATGTATCGGATGACCTCGGCGTAAAGTCAAGTCGGGCCTGTCTCTCCACAGGGAGAAGATTCAACAATAGTGAAAAATAGCAAGGGAACGGTTTTTCTACTATTTTTACAATGTTGGAATATGCTTGGGGTATTTTTATTGTTCGTCCAAAACCTCCATGCAGGACGACATGCCCGACCGAAGCGTAACGATTTCAGACGAAGTGACGAGAGAGTTCTGGCAGACCCCCCTGGCGGCGCCTCTGGCGCCGCCTCCGGCGCGCTCCGCGCGCCAGGGAGGGGGGTCCAGCGCAGATACGACACATCCGCGCGGAGGGCCAAAAGCTTATGTTTATGTAATTGTTTCTGCTTCTCGTGTGGCTCCTCCGTTTGTGTTTGTGCGAGACCTGGGGGTTCCTCCGCAGTCCTCTTGGTCCTGCAGTAGCGCAGGGGCCGGCCTGGGCCCAGGAGGGTCCTTTGATTCTCTGGCCGATCCTTCAGATGTGGGCGGGGGGCTATGCTCTGCATGGCCGAGGCTTGCCGTTGGCCGGAAAAACGCCCGCACATCGTTCCTTTCCCTGTAGCGCGGTGGCGGGGCGGTTGCTCCGTAGCTTTGTGGCTCAAGGCTCTTGGCTCGTCGCAGCCCGGGGCTCCAGGCAGCCTGCGTCAAGTCGGGCATGCCCCTCTACAGGAGGAGTAACCGCCAAGGGTTTTTAATGATGCGTCCCCCCCCCCCCCGAAGCTCTCCGCGGGGAATAGAAACTCGTCCCTCCTCCTCCTCCTTCCCCTCCCTCCTCCTTCCCCTCCCTCCTCCTCCTTCTTCTCCTCCCCCTCCTCCTCCTCCTCCTCCTCCTCCTCCTCCTCCTCCTCCTCCTCCTCCTCCTCCCCCTGTTCTGGGCTTCGTTTCGTAGACTCGAGGAGGAGGAGGGAGGACGACGACGAGGACGACGACGACGGGAAACGACGACGACAACGACGACGACGATTGTTGCTCATTCCTCATCCATATTCTCACTCGCCGTGCCGTGGGTTGCAGATTCGCTACAATGTTTGGCGTCCTCGACTTGCTCGTGGTGAAGAGTAGCACAGCGATAGTTATTCTGGACCGTACAGGCGACATCGGCACTCCAGGTGGCACTCCTGTCCAATCAGTCCTCTGCGTCCTCAGAAGCCACACCGCCGTGTCTGGGTTGCGTGGTCAGAAGCCTCACCGACGTACCTGGGTTGTGGGCCAGAAACACCATTGCCGTGCATTGGTTGTGGGTCCGAAGTCTCGCCGACGTGCCTGGGCTGTGGCTGAAAGACCTGACCGCCGTGCCTGTGTTGTGAGTCAGACGCGTCGCCGCCGTTGCGGGTAGTGTGTCACCGAGTGCACCGCCGTGCCTGGGTCGTGGTTGAAGACCCCACCGCTGTGCCTGGAATGTGGTCACACCTCACCGCCTTGCTTGGGTTCTGGGCCACAAGCCTCCCCCAGATGTGGGCGCTGCGAGCAAAAATAAACACGACTGCGGGGTTTTCTCAATTTTCGGCCTCTGGGGGCCTTCGGAGGGCCCCAGGACCTTGGCTGTAGTCAACAGCGTCACCGCCGTGCCTGGGTTGCGGGGTCAGAAGCCTCTTCGTCTTCGTTGTCTTCGTTGTCTTCGTCGTTGTCTTCGTCTTCGTCTTCGTCGTCGTCCTCGCCAACGCGGGGGGATTATGCTCCCACGAATGCCGGCCGTGCTGGAAATTGTTGGGCTGTTATTTTTCCCGGTTGAGAATGCTTCCTTGGCTATTTGTTGTATACGCGGGAGGAATTTTGAACACGTCCGTAAAACAAACTTGCAATACAAGTCGATGCGCAGCCAATCGACTCCTCGAGTCGTTTTCGTCGTCGTCCTCCTCCTCGTCGTCTTCGTCGTCGTCTTCGTCGCCGCCGTCGTCGTCGTCGTCTTCGTGGTCGTTTTTGCCGCCGCGGGGTATCATTTTCCCAGTATTGTCGGCCGTGTTGGATATTGGTGGGCGGTTATTTCTCCCAGTTGAGAATGCCTCCTGGGCGACTTTGCGCGCGGGAGGAATTTCGAGCATTTTCGTAACAAAAGAAGGCTTGCAGTAGAAGCCGACGCACATCCTATCGAGTCCTCGAGCCGTCTCTGTCGTCGTCGTCGTCTTCGTCCTCGTCGTCTTCGTGGTCGTCGCCGTCTTCGCCGCCGATGCATGTTCGCACGTGTGCAGCGGTTGCGGCGGCGGCGCGCAGGGGACGAGGAGGGGGGGGGATGAGGAGGAGGTCGCCTGG